GGACGGGGCCGCGGGGCCGGCGTCTGAGGTGCACCCCTGGGGCAGGAAGCCGCTGATGCAAACGGGGCACCGCGCCTTCACAGCCCCAACACTGCCCGTGCCCCGCGGCTGCAAGGCTCCGGCGCCCAGGCCCCAGTCCCACCCGGCTCCTGGCTGGCCCAGCCCTTGGGAAAGTGCCTTCTCCTCCCTGAGCCAATGGGGGTGAGGGCCGCCCGGCCTCCCGCGGCTGTGGTGTGGTTGAAGCTGGTCTGGTCGGCGGAGCCCCCCACCGGGCCGCAAGCTCTCAGGCTCCCACGCGGGTCTGCGGTTTCTCTGTCCCCGTCCTGGGCAGGATGCGTGGCCTATCAGACCCTGTGGGCCTCTGCCCTGGATTACCTGCAGGCGTCAAGGGTCTGGTCCTTGGCAGCTCCCACCTGCTTGGAAATATGTGGGCATCTCTCCCAAGAGACTCCGAGGCTGGCTAAAGGCTGGTGAAAGCCCTTGCTTGCCTCCCAGGCATTTTGCTCCTCTACCTTCCACCTGCATACAGGCTGCCACCAAGATGGGCCACCTGTGGCAGAGGGTAGCTTACACCCTGGGCTGGGCTCCCACCTAGATGTCTGTACTGGGTGCCCCTCCCTGGTTTCCTGGCCTCCACCTCAGGCCAGCTCTCTGGCCTCTCACTGCAGCCTCCAGACACTGAGGCTCTGTCCTGCCCCGTGCCTGTTTCCAGTGCTCTTGCCAGTCCCTCCCCCTGCAGCATACCCAGCCCTCTAGGCCACCTCCCCTCCTCCCAGCCACCCTGCCTGACCCCTCTCCACCACCTCTGGGCAGCCCCCACCACTTCCTCTCCTCAATCTCTTTCCTCCACCACGTTCCCCTCAGCCCACTCTCCAACATACATGCTGTTCCCATCACTGCTCTGTTTTGACTCTCCAGGACCTGCCTGTGTCCAGCTGGCTCTTTGGTATCCAGCCCCTGTGGACCTTTCTCTGCCTCCTGTGTGCCTGCGCCAGCCAGACCCCATGGCTCTCGTTACTCAGATCTGCCACCCTCAGACCTCTGGCCACACTGTTTCCACTGCCCGTAGTTTCAAGTGAACTACCTTAACCCTCAAGAATCAGTTCAAATGAACACCAGGCCTTCACGAACTCTTCCAAAAACAGAACAGGAAGGCACTCATTCTAAGAGGTCAGCATTACCCTGATACCAAAACCAAAAACATCACAAAAAAAGAAAACTACAGCCCCATATCCCTTGCGAATGCAGACAAAGCTTTTCACCAACAATACTGGCAAACTGAATGCAGCACCCTGTGAAAAGGCTTCTTCGCCATGCCGAGTGGGATTGTCCTGGGAACGCAAGGTTGATTTAACTTCCAAGATTCAAAGAGTGTAATACAACATATCAATCAAATAAAGAACAAAACCCATACGATCCTCTCAATAGATGCAGAGAAAGCATTTGACAAAATTTGACAATCCTACAGGACGAGAACAACACTCAGCAGACCAGGAACAGGAGGAGACCTCCTCAGCCTGGTAAAGGCGTCTGTGAGGAGCCAGAGTGAACGTCATGATCGGTGCTGAGTGACGGAAAGCTTTCCCCTAAAATCAGGGACAAGGCAAGGACGTCTGCTCTTGTCACTTCTATTCAAAATTGTAACAGGGCTTCTAGCCAGGAAGTTTAGGCCCGAAAAAGACATGAAAGCTAGACAGATTGGCAGGAAAAAGTAATACTCACAGATTAGATGTACACAGAAAATTCCAAGGAATCCACTAAAGAATGGTGGGAACTAATAGACAAGCTCAGCCAGTGGCAGGTACCTGATCAACGCACAGAAACCAGCCTGTTTCTCTACACGCGCACCAAACAACCCAGAAATGGGAGAAGAGTTAGCTCAAGCATCCCCTCTTTCAGACCGTCCCCCCTGACCTCTAGGGGTCCTTCGTCACTGTTCCGCATCCTCTCCAGTTCAGGCCCAGCACAGAGAGGGCACCCAGGCAGCCCCAAAGGAGGTATAGAATGTTGAGCCCAATATATCGCACCCTCTCCAGTCTATAAGGAGACCTGGCGTGTGCGCTGGGAGCTGGGTGCCAAGGGGCAGCGCCGTGAGGACTGATGGAGCCCACCCCTCCTCCTGGCTCCGCACGAGGCTGGGGGCAGGAACTGAGGTGGCCCACAGCCCCACTCGGGTCAGCTCAGTGGGCAGGTTGGCACAGGCCTGTGAGGGGCTCAGTGTCACCTGGCCACTGTCCCTCTGTGGGCAGAGTGAGGGCTCTTAGGGGTCCACTGACTGATCTTGGGTGGGGAGGGCGGGTCGTGGCAGGGCCTGGTTGTGCTCCAGCTTCACCTGCCTCAGGGACAGGTGCCGATACCCGCAGCCCCTCTCCAGAGGACAGACTGTCGAAGGGCAAGCCTGTCTTGATGCCTCAGCATCCTCTGGCCCCCCCCGGCCCCCCCAGCCCCCCCCGCACCACACGGTGAGCTGG